TTCAGGCATAAACAAGACATACCCGAATGAATTTCAATATTAACTTTCATTTTCCTGCTTTAAAATGATCCAACGAGAATCCAAACAATCACTAGTATAGCTCTCTCCAGTCCTTTGAAGTCAGATTGATTAACGAAATGAATGGCAATGCATGCATCTTTTGATGAGAAATGTCAACTGACCTAATCTTAGATTTCTTCGGCATGCGAATCTATCACAAATAGAAAAATTATGACCACTGCTTGCAAGCCTATTCGAAGTTTATTGCTTAAGTTTTGAATGAATGTTTATTTCTAGATGTTCAGAATATAGATTGATTTGTTTTGGGCTTTGTTGTTATCTGAAGGAAGTGTTTTTTATAAGACTGTTTGAGCAAAAACTACCTTATAAGTATTGTTAGGCCACTGAAGCTATATTATATAACAAAACTGTAGGTTTCATTTTACGCAACGAGCTAACGTTTTGCCTTTTTGTAATTTCATTTGCATTTATAACCTTCTCTTTCTATTGATAAACTGAATAAAGTCAAGCCATCATCTGATAAACAACCGTCGTTATTGCTGCCAGTAGCTCCACTTGGTCTTTTAGTTGTTGTCCTTCGAATCATCAGAACTTCCAAAACATGAAAGTCTTTCTTTCCTGCTATCTTCTCGAAACATAAAGCCAGACCTGTTTTTAAAAATTCGTAAAGAAACTTGATATTTTCTTCATCTCTCTTTGTTTATCTGTGGCTCGAAACTTTTTCCATGTCGTTTTATCAATCTTAATCATCTAAAGCCAATTTGTTTGACAATCACAAGTGCCAAATCATGCTGAAATTAAAGACAGCACATATTTACAATTAGGGCACAACGAAGAGATGCTGTTGATGACATTTCATAAATGGATTAATGAAAATCAGTTACCAAGATCTGAAATGTATTTTTCTTATTTTTAAGCAACTAGATTCGTTCCTGATAAATAGTTGCCAAATTGTGTTGAAAGAAAAGCTAAAATTATTCAACCTAATCATCAACGGACATAACCCAAATGACAAATGGTACCAACCAAAAATGAGTTATTTTGTTACACTCTTCACTCATTTAAAGATTCACTTAAATTAAAAAACAATCACTTCAACCTAAAAGTCCTCAGTTTGCTTCTTTTACCTGCTTCAGAAAAGTTTTTCCATCATTCTACATTGATTCCATAAGTAATATTGAAACCAAACTCTATAGTTATGGTTCTTTAAATTCTCATTGAAAAAAGTGTTTGATTTTGTTCTTGAAACGTAGCAGCTAAAGCACAAACCTTATGACTCAAAATCTCCACCTGACTGGAGTCTCTCAAACTCAATTTGACTCTTAGCTACAAGGTAGAGATGCTCTTTCTCTGCCAATCTACTTTCTTGAGCGGATCAAAAATCTGAGTAGCAGTGATTTATTGAAGTTGCTAAAGACATAACTGTTTGACTCGTTGTTTCTGAATTTTTTATTCTAATCCTCTGCAAATTTATGTTTGACCTTTCAAAGAATAAGAACATTTACTTGATGGCTGATGTTCTTAAGTAAGCTTCTCTGAATTCTTTACAATATGCTTTATTATTCACTCTTTATTTTTTTGTCTCCTCTTTGCTTTAATACGAAATATTGGCTTATATTTACAAACTTTTATCTCTTTAGTTAGTATTTCAAATCTTTCTTGATCCGGTTTTGTCTTCTTCCACTCTTTCTTATTCTAATGTCCCTTATCAAGTTGATTCCAACACAATAACGAAAGTTTGTCCAAATTATTCTTTGCAATTAATTTAGAATTTGATTTCTAGAGTTTACTTTAGTTTTAGCAGATTAAATCAAATGCTAAATTAAATAAAGAAGATCAATTACCGGTCCGGTCATCTCTTCTTCTAAAAGTCTGGATTTATCCTTGAAAATTATAAAAAAGTTTCTCAAGAAGCGCTTCTCTTTGATAGAAAAACCTATCAATATTTACATCATTACGAAAAACCGAACTTTCTTTTCATTGCCAAAGTTTGAAGTAATGGATGTCTGACAATCCTTAAGCCTGGTTCAAACATCAAACTTCTCATGCGCTGAACTCAATTCATAAGTTAAGTATATAAGAAGCAATTAAATACGGAAGAACTTATTAAGTATGGCAAAAACAGTTTGGCACGGCAGGTCTTGCCAAACTTTACGATTGTCGAGTTGATCATGTGCCGAACTAAACCGATAAGTTATTTTCCTTCCCAGCAACTCACAGCACTGTTGTTTTTAGGAAAGCAGACAAAGGAAGAGGACGAATCAAATACTGCGTTAGAAAAATGGACCATTTCTGTTACGTGGCAGTTTTCGGCAAAATTTTGTTGAGACAGCTCTTGTAAACAACATGCTCTTGGTTGCTGTCAGCAATAAAAATAGGAGTAGGCCTACTCGAAATCTTCTTGCCATGGTAATAGCAGTTCTTAATCTGTATTCAACTAATTGATGTTTTCTTCTACTTCCGCCAACATATGTTTTATCAACAAGTAATTTGAGTTGTATGCAGCCATCTTAGAAAATCTTACCAAATGTTTATGCCGTGCCTAAATTAGTTACTTCATGTAAGCAACTCGAAATTATTAAGCTCGACACATTTGGCTCGACGTCTGAAATGAAAGTCGTTTCCGAGTCGTACTTAATTCAGTTCGACACATGATAAGTTCGACGTTTGAGCAGGGCCTTACTTTGGTAATGTTTCGTGTGGTTCTCTGTTGCCGCCATATTTAGCGCCAACACATTAGCACCAAGCATTTAGTATTGATTAAAACTATTTGTGGCATGGAGGGTGGTAGTTCGAAAAATTTTCTATTCCTTCTTTGAGATTTACATTCAAACAAAAGGTCACTGTATCAAGTCTGTTTAATTCATTTGAATAAAGGTCTCCATTTGCAGAAGAATGCAGAAATCCATGCTGTTGCTCGGTCTTGCTTTAAAGAATATGAAATCATGGAGAAAAATATGTAATTGCCAATTTTCAAAAGGAGCATTTATTTGACTGGTATTTGAAAAAAGATATCTTCGAAAAGATTTTCGCTTCATTCTGTGTAAAATCTTCATAATATTGCGAATAAACAAGAGATTTAACAGAGAAAAAAGCCAATCATGTCTTGATAAAGGGCAAAGTAAAATGGTCAAAGAGCCACCAAGTTGGAAAATTCAAAATGTTTTAACAATTCTCTTCGTACGCTGCTACGTCAAGCAGTCAATTTGTACAGGAAATACGCAGAACGTGTTGTTATTCTGGTTGTAATCAAATGAAATTGACTAAGTAGAGAGTACATCTATTAACAGACTCGCTGCACTTTCATTTTATGGGACTTCTTTTAAATTTCTTTTAAATGATTCACTAAGATCAATTTCCTTACAAGTTGACCCATGGTTCCTCCCAAGTAATTGCAAGTTTGCTGACAACTATTTCAGTATTAAGCTAAAATTCGCTTTTTTCTTGTTTGTTTTGTCTTATGTATATGTCATCTGATTTGCTACTTGCTTTGCCTCGTTACTATAATTACTGTCTCTGTTCGATGTGATTGAACTGCAGTAACGTGTCCTTTTATCCCAACCAGTAAAAATTCCTCAAAAGACCCTCGGCCAAGCCACATACGTAAAAGCGATTCATTGACATCGTTTAGAAACGATTTGACCCTGCTTTACAGCAGAGAACATTTTATTATGCATGGCAAATCTCTGTTAGCAGAAACAAACTGAAACATGGAACTCACTAAACACTGTTGCGTGTGACCCGCCCAGCATACTCAAAATAATAGTTTCATTCAGCAAGGCCTTCTTTTTCTTAAACAAATACGTCATTTCCAAACGACATGATGTAACAGGTCGCCTAAAAATATTGAGAATATATCTGCGCAAAATTATATTAGAATAAAACTGGTTAAAGATAGAAGCATACATTTTCAAAAAAGTTTCAATGCCAGTTATTTTAATCTAAATCAATCAAAAATCTTATCTTATCATTAGTGTTCAATGTGTTTAATCTCAAACACGATGAATCTCCACGCCAAACCATACAAAAAATCTCGCTGAATGATGCAAATTAGCAATGCTAGTTCTTATGTACTTATGATACCGACATGAACACATTAAAATAAGAATGAAATAGAAACTTGCTACAGACATCAATCGGAATGTCTCTTCAAAGCAACTCGCTTTAATTTAGTTACAAGTCCTTATGAATTATTGATTTCTTTTAAATCTACTCTTTTGTAGAAGCTATCACCTAGTCCACGTGCTTGAAATATAATTGCGTAATAATGAGGTAATTGTATAATTCAATAACGATATAATGTGAGAACTAGTGAATCATAAACCCTTGCTGTACAATGACGTCAAGTCTGGATCTGGACAATAAACAAAGAGACTTCTCTCTTCAAAATATACTCAGTTTTTTCTTAATTGAATCTGTTTGAAATCTCATATTTTGCTGAGGTAGAGCTGATGACAGACACAATTTAAATTGAAAATCTCCAGCTAAACCTTTTTAGAATGACCTTAAATAAAGCTCTCTTTTCGAAATTATTGTCAGTTTTTTAATAAAAAGAGAAGTTTTTTACTTCATTCTGGTTATTAGAGAAAAGTATTATAACTTACTCTAATGTTCTAAGATATATTTACTCATTTACTTTACAACTGGAACTCTTCCAGGCGGATCATGAGCCTTCAAATCCACGTCAAACTGCTTACTCCATATTGTATCTGGTCAGTTTGAAATCATATTGTTTTCTGTCCATTCAACTACGTTTATTCAGAATAGCCTAAAAAACTGAAATTTTAAAGGAAATAGTGTGCGAAACATTAACTTAAATTTCCATGTCTAATGCATAAATCAAAAGCTCAAGTGAAAAGAAAAAGAAACAACATGCAATACTTGTAATTTTTCAAAAAGTGTAACTCATGTTTTTCTACCTTCATAGTTTTGCATATGAATTTGTTCAAATTCTATTAAATGTTTAACTGGTTTTGCAGAAACTGATGTAGTGAAAGCGAAACGTTTACCAAAAGTGTTTTCAACTATGATGCCTTCAGATTACAATCATGATATACTTAGTAGCAGCATCATGGTAAGATGTTTTCATAACCAATGTTAGTTTTTTGCTTTTAAAGCATGCAGTTATTTTCGCTCATTCTAATAAAGTGGAAATGTTTAGGCAAATTTCTTTATTTCTAGTTCAAAATATCGTTTTATTGCCTTTTAAGTTTAAAAAATGCCACAATTCTTAATGCTTTGATTGAAAGTACAAAATTGTAAATTAGAGTTAAGAAAAAAGAGTTCACAAGGAGACTTTAATTCTATGCTTCATTTATCTGACTCTTTTCTTTGTTCCCAGTTGCAGAAGCTCTGTTAAATTTCAATAAAATCTACCTTTCTATACACACGTAAAAATATTTTCAAATTAATTGGAAAAATGAAGATAAAAAAAGACAACACAAAATGTTGATACTCGTAGTTTCACGTGGTTGGTGATCACCAGACAATTAAGTTTCATTCTAAGAACATTCTAATTTTAACACTGAGATTATTCTTACAAATTTAGAATTCTCTAAGGCGGGCTCTTTAAAATATTCATCCACCACTGAAAATTGCAAATGCGCCTTCATGCGGTGACGAGGTGTTAGTAACACATTGATTCGGATTCCATATGTTTCCAATGCAGCGACCGCCAGCTGCGAGTATTTTGAAGAATGTAAGGATGTTTTCCAGGAGGATGTTATCTAAAGCAGCATGAAAAGAAAAACCCAAGGCAACTAAACGAATACATTGAATTAGGAAGAATGGCTTAATTGTTTTCTTTTGGATGTTCTAGTAGCCTCTCTCGATATCACGCAGCTCTCGGGTATAAACCACATCGAGTCAAATGCGGCGTACCCTTTGTTTGGGAAAACAAACAATCGATAAGGATTCGGTGTGGGTGGGGTTCTGTTTGGTATAAATTGGCTTGCGTGTAATCTAAAGTTGCATTCTACACAGTGGAGACCTGTCGTATTTGCATCCATCATAAGAAGGTAAGAGCCAACAAATCAATTTTTATCAATATGCTTCTTTCATTTGGATCAGCTCTTTATATTTTAAGGCAGTTATAAATTCTTCTAATCCTTCATCTGCAAAGGATTTTTAGATTGCCCAACTTCTTTGAGTTGTATCTTGCAGTTAGAGATGAATATTAGTGCAAGATTTATGGGTAGCGAAAGATTCATGAATGGAAGATCTAATACAGTTCTTAAACAGATGATTGGATTAATGAAAAAAGAATTGAAACTTTAAACAACATAGCAACTTGCTAGCTCTTGTTTTATCATCTACATAAATTTTTTCGAAGCTTAAATCTCTTCAGAATCATAAAACAATGTTTTTTGTTGACTTAGCGCACAAAATGAGCAAATTATGGAGCTATCTTTTTCAAAATGTTTCTTCACAAAAGGAATGACGTATTTCTTGTAAGAGTTTGGACTGTTTGTTTCTAAAAGATCTCGAGCTCTGCCTGTTTCGTGAACAAAATCTATTAAATGTTATCTTCAGTACTTTTAATAAGAGATGCAAATTGTGATCCTAATACTTCATATAAATAATGGACCAATGCATTCGTATTTATTGTTTATTTGTGATACTGTTTTTACATCTGACACTATTTACATTTTAGGTAACACAATGACTACCTCCAAAGTTATCTTACTATTTGTGATTACTCAACTGTCAATCCTGGCTGCTTCTCTGCCAACGTCTATGAACGAAGATGGTGGCGAAAAGAACGTTTTGAGGACAACACTCACAAAAATACGACAGGAAGAGATCGCCCATCATCGTAGAGAAACACAACTCAGCAATACCCATTTACGTATTATTGAATTTCTTATCAACGAGGCGACGCGCACGAGAGATGGCGATATGGTTCAAAGGGAAACCGAGAGGAAGCAAGTTGTCGGAGACAGGCGATTAAAATGCATTGTATATGATGCAAACAAAAAGAAATGCCTTCGACACAAAATGAGCTTTCTATGGGGATAGGAATGGATTTGTGACAAACAAGACGCATTTTGGGACAGTATATTTATAAAACAGTATTGAAAAGATTAGAAAGCAAAAGTATGTTATTTGAAAATTGTGATGTAAAATGAAATTAATTTGAAGATACTGACTTGATTCAATTGTCTGTCTGTCATTTTAATTTCTATAGCTTGTACAAATTGAGTTAAACATCGGGAAATCATAGTGATGGTATGTAGTCATCTACATAAAAGAACCTGGGATGTCAGAAGACAGTCGTTATTGCAAACAGGAATGCCTGTATAGCCAGTTATCATATGGTTTCTTCACTATCCTGTCATTCACACCCAAAAGCCTTTAAAGAATGAATTTCTTTTCAGGCTTTGAGATTCTTTCAACTTTTCACTTTTAAAGTAGAAAATAGATCATCACTTTCCTCAGGCCTTGTCCTATTTTTACCAAAATGATTTTAACAGGGCTCTTTGTCATTCACGTACTAAAACATCATGGGCTGGAATAGGAATATACTTGGTTATAGTCTTTATCTGGATATTCAACAGAACCAAAACGAACGAAATGAAATTCTAACTTGTCTTGCGCAACTCAAGCCCGCATATAAAAGGTGGCGGAAATTCAATACCTCAGAGAGCATGCAAGAGGAAATATTGCAATAATCAATTAAGATATAGAGAAACATCTGTCGTAAGAATTTTATTGAGAAATTTTGACTTTTACCAATTAGATGATAGAAAAAGCACGTTGTGTTACATTTTATGACTTAAAAACTATCATTAGTGAAAAAGAACTTACTGGAACTCTATAGAGGTGATAACGCAGTTAGGTCGATAAATATTTCAATTTAACAGCATCGCACTCAATTTTTAATGTTTTTATTATGGTCAACCACGATTCTACTTCAAAATAAGATAAATTATTTCAACTTTAAATTATTCCTGGTACTGTCAGATAATTACGACAAACATAACATATATGGTGAAGCCTAAAGACATTTGATCTGAGAGTGTGAATTAAAAGTTTTTTTGTGTTCATTGACTAGTCGATTGCAATAGTTTATATGTTTGAAAATCAGTAACTTTCGATTGATTTGTTCAGATTGGTAACAAAAGAAGCAAGCTAAATATTCTTTTGAAAAGTTTTAAGCTTTAAACTATGTACACATCCCCAATATTAGAGTAATATCTAGACCTTACAAAGCGAGATGCCTTTAGAACTAATTTTCATATGGTTTCTCCGCTCTGCAGTCACTCACATCTCAGACGTTTAAGGAAGATATTTCTTTTCTGCTTTTGAGATCCTTTTAACGTAAACTTTTAAAATAGATAATGGATTTTTCTTAAGCCTCTTCATATTATTCCCAATGATGATTTTGACAGGGCTCTTTGTACGACAAGGCTTTTTATCTCTCATACACGTATCAAAAAAATTTCTTAACTGAAATACTACTTAAATTGCTGCTTTATTGCATCTATTTGATAATTTTTTAGGTTACAGAAAACATTTCGAGCCGAAGTTTTGGCACTGGCTTGCTACACAAAGGGACTGGTCATAAAGGTAAGTTTATCTATTCTTGAGCATGCGTACTCCCAATGATATCTCTTGGTGTGTCGAACGAAGGGGTGGTTTAAAACGTTTTGCATAAAACACATTTTTTCAAATTTTTCGTCTCCTGGAAAGCACTACAGAAATATGTCTTAAATCAGGCATGGAGTTGCTAAATAATAAGGAAATAAATTTCCATATATGCATTCGTGCAAGAGTTGTTTTTGCTGCATTTGGCTGAATAAAGTCATAAAAATGACGCGCGGTTGATGCTAACTGTTACTTAAATGTAAGGGAAATCACGTCTAAATGACATTTCAAATTTAATTTAAAATATTAACTTTAGTGAAGAAACAAATACTTAATGTATAAGAATTTCGTAACTTCTTCTTCTACTGATAAGTTATCTAGAAATTGCAATCTTGAGCTTGAGTTGCCATGTATTACTCGATGGTACCAAGAAATTGTTGCCCTTTCAGATGTTATTTGGATTTGAGACTAATGACATCACTGTTTGATTGTTTGAAATCATAAGAAATCAATTTTTCGTCTTTTTATGCTATTATTGTGTTTGCTCGTAGCAAAGGCTTGATACGAGCAAGCAGAACGTTCTCTTGAAAAGCTTTTTTTGAGCTGGCAAAAGTGCTAGCTTTTGAGCTACGATCCCGAATAAAAATAGTTGAGACTTTTCAATAGAATTTGTTTTTTTAACTTTCAATTAAAAAATAACTCCCCCTCTCCAAAGTCAATGTTGAATGCATGGTTTTGAAAAAGAAATGATAGAAATACAGTCCAACATTGATTCGGGGGAAAGGGGGGTGATTCAATTTTACAGGGCAACATAAAGTAGAAAATTGCAATATTTGCATTTGGTCTCAACATTTCTGTCCGGGATTGTAGCTTGGCTAAACGTGTCACGCCACAAGGTCAGCACATTGATATTAACTTTCGTCCTATCGTCCTTTAAATCAAACCAACGTGCAAGAAACAATTAAAAGGATACAAAACAATTAAAATTGATTCCTTCATGTTTTAAATTCTGAACCACATTGCATACTTGCCTGAAATCTAAAGCTACGAAGAAAGAGATCAGGTGAAAAAAGCTTTTAATTATGTGTCGTATTTTCACTATTCAAATGAAAAAGAACGAACTGTGAAAGAATTTTATCTGGTGAAGACAGCACACGAGTTAAGCAGAGGAGCATGGACAAAACCACAGGAATAATAGTCAAAAAAAGTAGAAGAAGGGGGAAGGAGGTTTGCTGCAAAGGATGCTAGTCCAAATAAAAATCAAATGAAAATTAATGGTAGCTTATAAAAATGGGGATGACTGGTGCTTTGCCAAACACAGACAATTTATCTCAATTTCAATCCTGAATCTACAAAGCCCTACAAACAAACAACGCCACAAATTAGTACTTTCTTTTTCCATCGATGTACCTTTACAAAAGTTTCTCCTTTTCAAATTGATCGATCTGTCAGATGGCCAACTCATGTGTTTAACGCGTTTCTTCGTGTTAATCTTGACAACCTCTTTTGCCTAGCTGCGCTAAGAATACCTTTGGTTTCTGGTCACGCTGCACTATTGTCAAAATTCCAACAAGTCTTTTGTCATGGCTGTAGTACCAGAGTTGATCCTCATCTCCGCGGCCACCCAAGAAAACGAGGCCCGAGTGTTTGCGTAAAGAATTAACAGTTATTTGGAAGTATCAAATTCGAGGCAATGGAAATTACAAAAGACTATTGTTTTATACTAAACGTCATTGGACGTGTAGCTTCTCTTTATTTGCAAAGATTAACAATTTCAGAAGCATTAAGTCACAAAAGACCCTGATTTCTTTGATACCCAGTATTTCATGAGCAAAATGTAACCTTCATGACACACAGGCCCTGTACAGTCAAGTGGACCCTCCTTAACACTAACATACTAAGCCTAGCAGTTAAGGTGTCACGTGCCCTAGAATCTGTTTGCGGAGAAAAGCAGACATGTTTAATAGCTCGCAGTGAAAGACAAGCTTGTGCTATCTTCTCATATATCAGCATGTTGAAGTGTTTGGAATTACTTGGGCTTAGCAGCTTTCACATCTTCTGCAATTGTCTTGAGTTGGATCACTAGCAGGGTACAGAAACAAGAGCAAAAGAAAGTCCAAGATTGAGACTAGTGTGAAGTGTTTCTAGTTTCAGGATAACATGATTACTTCATAGCAAACCCTCAGTTTTGAGCCACACCCATCAACTCGAATTGCAGGCTTAGCACATACTTAACACGTTGATTTCGTATTACAATTAAATACATAGTTGTGAATTTCTGGTCAAGTTTTGCAATTTCCACAAAAGTAATAGATGTTGCTAGAAGTTCATTAGCAAGGATTTACTTTTAGCGTGAATTTACCGACAAAAACTCCGGTTATGGATTGACGTTTTCTATAGATAACAGTTCCGTTTCCATCACAGTGACATGGTTGGCAGAAACACATCTAAGAACAGCTAAACATTCAATGCTTTTTCGCATTTTGCTTGATTCTAGCAGCTAGTTTCTTTTTAGAAAAATCTTGAGATATGAAACCATGTATAAATACTTCAAAAATTGAAAATGAAATGAAAATATAGGAACGCTGGTGTAAAATCACTTCAATCAAAGAGTATCAACAAACAGACACACTTTCGAAGAGACACGAAGTCAATCCATGTCCCCATATATATAAATTGAATTTTCTTTCACTTTGTTGACTTTGCGACATACTTTGAAACTGCTTATGACTTTTCTATGTATATTCCCTGTTTATGTATCGAATATACGTCACATGTTTCTTGTTTACAAACTGGCGATATAATAGACTCAAATGACGTTATCTGGAACTGTTCTGACAATATATGACGTTATTGGCAGCAGAGACGAGGTTAAGGGTAGCCACAACGAGATTTTCTTAATAGGATCACGTGTTGGCCCAAGCTGTCCAATGTCAGTTTTTTAGTACCCTGGGTTCCGGAGCCACAAAATTTAGAACGGGGAAATAGAAGTTAGGAATGGAGATGCGGAGGAGCATCTATCTGAGAAACATCCATCTGCAGCTAAATGCTCCTCCGCTTGTCCGCTTGGTTTTCCATTTCCGTGCTCGAAATTTTGTGGCTCTGGCACCCAGGGAATTATTTTAGTTTCATGGCCATACAATTAAAATTGCTTTTTGTATTTATTCCACCCTTCAAAGGTACGTTGCAAATACCTCCAGCCACGTTTGTCTGGTTTCATAGAAAATCTCCTGAATCAAACAAGGCTTCAAAAAAGGTTAAATTTTGCAGACTAACAAATGTCTGCATAAGTCAAGCCACGATGTTTTTGCATAAAAAATCTTCAGACAGTCGGTAACCTTAGATCTTGAAAAACTTGCAATATAATAATATAGTTATTGAGGTTGAACATATTGTTATATAAGATGATATAAGAATTTTTTTAATGAGGGCAAAAATAAAAAATGAATTTTTGAAAAGCAATAGTAAGGTTTGAAATTTGCACTTAAATCGAAAAGGATATTATTTGTACCCAATCTGTAACTTATCTTCTTTACATCCAAATCGTCGAGGAAAAGAGCTTTTATTTAGGAAAATCTTGCTTGATGCTTAAAGTTATTTTATGCATAGTATATGAATAATACATAGCAGTCATATGCTTTACCTTGACTGCAAAATATCACGAATTTCTAGAATTTTGTGAACGTAAAGTTTTAGAAGATTATTCGATAGGAAAAAGCATTCCTTTTACTGGAACTGTTTTCACTTCAACTTTTAAGAAAGAATACGTGTATCTAATTGTTGGTATTTTAATGCTTCCAAACAAATGCAATAAAGTCGCTATGAACAATATAGTTGTCCATAAAACCTTTTAATGGGATGGCAATCTTTACTGGGAAAATTATAAAAGAGCTTACAAGAGAACTTGTTTGGCCATCTAAGCGAAGTTGATGTGATGGTATTACGGCAAGAAGGGGTTGATTTGCAAAGAGCAAATGCTTTTTTTAACTACATAATCGTTTGTGAAATTGATGGAGCATTGTTGGATAGTTATAAGGGAAGGGTTGTGGCCGGAAAATCATCTGCATCATTTTCCTTTTAGTTAATTGGGTGTGTGCCAAATCAGAAAGTTGTAAGTTTGATAGAGACGAGTAGTAAGCTTGTTAGAATCATAAACGGTAATGAGTATTAAAAAATTATGTTTAGTGGCGTTGTCTAGCTTCATAGCAATGGAATTCTTGCTTAAATGCGGAACATTCAGAGGTTAATAAAAAAATTCATAAAAAGCCACTAAAACTTCTCCATTGATGATATTTATAACAGAATGGTCATAAATAGCACCATCCTAATGTAATTGTAGCAAAATATTCTTATGCTTTGTATTTTTGAAAAAAACATGCATCTTTAATACCCTACTGGTTACACAAAAACCAAAGTAAAGGAAGTGATTATCAATTGTCTTTCTCATCACGAACGCCAATTGAGAAGGTCTTTGTAAAAGTTAATCGAATATGAACTTATGGTCTTTACATACTTTTCTATTGAACGAATGATAATGATTTTTAAATTTTATTTCTTAAGGGTTAGGAAACCCAAGCATACACGTTGATTGATATAATTGTAAGAAAACAGGATGCTCGGTGAATCTGTAAGTAATAATACCTCTTTGGTATCATCTAGAATATCAGGCTATGCCATAGACGCGTGTATGTTTGTACTGCAGATATGGCTTGCTCTCTATGTTATGTTCTGTTCCTGACACGAGACGACATGTCTGCTTTAAAAAAATTGTTCTTTATCGTTGCTCATCAGTTAGGAGTGATGTTGATTTGGTCCTTTCCGGGCATTTTGCCTAGTTATTTTTCCCGTCTTGTTATTAAGTGATTGGAAAACTGTTTGCATATGTGTTCATGTCTTGTTTCTTTTCAAGTAAAGTTATAGTGACGTGTCAAGGAAATTCTCGTCTAAAGTGAGGGCTTGCTGATGAACTGTTCTTTCCCGCA